ACTGTCCTTGTCTATCTTCTTGATGGGCATGCCATCAGTAATTGTACCTCCTGTGCCTCCTGGGACTACTTGGTACATTATGAGTCTTAGTTTTTGAATTCACAGTTCAGAAGAAGACAAAAACTGAAGGCTAAAATTTTATACAGTCTACAGAATACATTTGGCAGACAGAGAACAAAAGTGAATAACTTGCTAAATTTGTGCAAAATGGAGTCATGCATCAATTTTTCTTCTCTCAGTGTAGCATTTTCCTCTTGTTCATTACCCTTATGAGCCTGCGGAAAAAGGAGTGGCAAAAAGTATCAATGCAAAAGGTTGAAACAAAGTCCAAACAGAAATCTACTTGTTATGCAGATGTAGGAATCACAGTACAAATTCTAACATTAAGTATTCAAAAAAAACACTATCATTTTAGCTTTGATATCGGCCTGAATTGGTCTGCTGGGAGGTAAAGGCATAAACAAAAGCAGTTTATTCATGCTGCCAAGGTTTCTCACTGTGGCAGTGTGTGAATTGACTACACCAGAGGACAACACAAGAGCCTCTGGGTCTGCAGTATGCAACGCCACCTGCAAAACTTTGAGACTGGCTAAGTGCAAATGAAAAGCGCAGTTAATGGACAATGTTTTCTCCTGAAGAAAGACCTAGAAAAGCTGAACTGCCCATGCAGAGGCCCTCTCTTTATGCTTTTGAGGGAGATGTACAGCACACTAATAAGGTGCAACAGTGACTGCCCACCTTTTCAGTGGTCTTGGGGAAGTCTAATTTTGTCAATAGTCACAAAAAAAATTAATAAAGAGATTTGAATCAAAACAACCAAATAAACGTTTCAAATCAGCATATTATATTTGAGAAGTAAAAAAGTTTGTTCTTGTAATCATGCATTTATACTTGTCCCACAAAGCACTGTAAATGACACAGCTAAATCGATTCAGAAATAATGGCAAAATATTAAATTATTCACTATAGTTGTTTGAAGGTGTACGAACTGACTCAATGTCATTTGCAATGCTTTATGGAAGTGGGCGTTAAATTTTTCTTCTGTATTGTGACATATATCCGAGTGTAACTGATTAGAGAATAAAAAATGTAGGGCATGGTCTTTGTTCAATGCATGTTTTTTAAAAATGAAAAAA